ACCTTCCTTCTATAGTTTCCAGCTTAATCGACAGCAGCCGTAATGCCACTGGAGTTGCCTTCCCGCATCACCCACTGGACGCAACCGTCTCTTATAAGGCCACGCTGTCCTGTTCCTTTAGCGGCTTTCACTGTTCGCACTCAGAGACAACTAGTTCAATAGGCTGCACTCGCACGCACGTTGCACACACTGGGTATCGACGTGTGTTGTGTATCCTACCCGAAAATCAATAACCCTCATGGGGTTGTTGAACTAACTGCACCTAGCTTGTCCTCACGCTGTTGGTTGCACGCATCCGGAAACTGCTGGGGCAACCACTGGTCAAGGTGGGGTAGGTATTTTTCTCAGCTCCACGGCTGTCATCATCGGTTGTTTGGATTCCGGTGAACAGCCTTTTGTCTGCAGCTCGTTTGACGACACCGACCAAGGTTGATTTAATGAATTAGTACAAGACGCTGTTTGTTTGTAGTTTCCACTTACGCTCCTACCGACTGCAGCTCTGATGCTGCCAATGACATTCTACCACGGGATGAACACGCTGCTTCGCAGCGATACCAGTACAAATATCACAGTACCTGCAGTGAACGTGAATGCTCAAGTAGATAGATTGGGCTCTTCAGAAGCTCAGCTGGATGGTAATTATGGCTTAATTCCGACCGTACTGGCAACGGCGAGCCTCTCTTGCAACTATGTGCGGAACATCGTCAGTTTCTTAGTAGCACCGCTTTTGGACACAGTGGGCGCCGAAGTGCCACTTGGCGTCCTCCTGTATCTGGCCAGCGATGGACCCAAATCGATCACATTGCCATTATTTACAGGTGGCGTGGTTCCATCCGGGATTGTCGCTCTTTCTGGAATATTTGCGTCGAGTCTGATCATGCCTTGGTACATTGTCGTTTTTCCATGAACTTTACCGAGAGGTGTCTCTAAGTGTCTCCTCCAATTGGCGACTTAGTAATCATCCCAGCCCTCGGTCAAGCAAGACTGCCCAGATGCACTGCGTATCGAACTTTCACTGTCTTATCCTAAAGACGCTGGGCTTCAGTTGAATAGGACCTCAGACACCATGCACGATGCAAGAGCTTCAGTTTGTATCAGTTACTGGATCTTCGAGAGGTCGATGAACCTTTCGGAATTTAAATGAAGACTCCCGGCTGGCTCTGAGCATAATATGACCAGACAGACTTTTAGACGCAAACTAAAGCGGGGCCTGCGCACTGATAGGGAAGGCTGGTGGACCAGTCGGAATCAGGAAATGTAGGAGGATGGAGCACTAGGGAATTATCACTAACTCATCCAGCTGATCCACACCACTGGTCCCAGGAAACCAGGCGTCAGTGAAACAGAGATGGCGCGGCTCCACTGAATCACAATATGAAGCGCGGTATGGCTCGTTGGGCGGAACACTTTCAAGATCAGTTCATTTGACCCCCTGCTTCCTGTCCTTTTCCTTTTCAGGTGATGCAGGATGAGTCATGGACAGGAGGTTTAAAGGCTCCTTCCGAGGCTAAGGTCCGCTACGCGATCACAGCCCTTAATCTTACTCGTGCTACTAACTCGGATTCCCTCCCACCTGCACTATTTAGAAATAGACCTTACGTTTTCTGTAAAGCACTGACATCTATGTTCAAACATGTATGGAAGGAGGAGACTGTCCCGGCTAACTGAAGTGAATCGATCAGTGGCACTCTACAAAATGGACAGTCGCACCGACTGTGCTCATCGCAGGGGTGTTAGTCTGATACCAGTTGTGACAATGTTGGTGACCTTAATTCCCGTTCTTCGCCTTACTGTGAAACAGGAACCTCGGGTTAGGGAAGAGCAGGCAGTTTTCTGCCCTGGATGTGGCTGTATAAATCACCTATTCACTTTGCGGTAGGGGCTAAAGTAACGACACGCATATTGTAGACCGACAATAACTATGTCCCTGAATTTTAAGTATACGTTCGATTCAGTCGATCGATGCATTCTGTTAGAAATATTTACGCGAAAAAGTGTTCCCATGAAATATGTGAAGATTTTACCTGCTCTCTACTCGGACACTGTAGGCCGCTTCGGCGTCTACGTTGGCCTATCGGATAGCTTTCCGACAACAAGTGGCGTTCGTCAGGGTTGTCCAATTTTTGTTCAATTTCCTCTTGGACTCCATCACGCAATGTTCCCTTGAGGGATCTCACTGCAGACGTTGTGCTGACTGGTGAAGGGTTATTTGGTCTTGATTATGCGGACGATATCGTTTTGCTTTTTAACGATATTGGTGCGGCGCAATCAACCCTGAATAACCTGTCTAGAGTGGCCCCATCATTTGGCATTCGCTTCGCACCTTCAAAGGGCTAAGTGTTGCTGCAGGACCACCAGCCACTTGATGCGCCCTTGACGAGGAACTTGAGGTAGTTGATCAATTCACTTACGTTGGCAGTTGTATCAGCAACGACGGGTGCATTACAACTGTAGTCCTTCACATATTGCAAAGGTCAGAACTGCCTTTTTGAATACGCGACATGTTTGAGGACAGAAAGGAGTTTCCTTCTGTCTGGAAAGCCCTGTTTACAAGGCCACAGTGAGAGCCGTCCTGCTCTATGGGAGTGAGGCTTGGCCCCTTCGATCTGAAGATCTGAGATATCTTCAAGTCTTTAGTCATCGCTGTCTGCGAAGCATTGTTTCGGGTGGCGCCATCGTATTCGCAACAATGACGTACGTAGACAAGTGCTGGGTAATGATACCCGAGCTACTTTCTTAAAACACCAGGTAGCACGGAATAAGTTACCTTGGCTTGGGCACGTACTACGTATGCCTGGTCAAAGCTTACCTAGGAGGGCCTTGTTTAATCTGACAGGTGCAGGGTAGCGCAAGGGTCGAGGTGGACAGAAGTTGACTTGGCAGTGTGAAATGAAGTCATTGACTACCAAACTGGGTGCCGTTGGTCCGTCTCACCTTCTGGGCTGGAGTCCACGTGACTCACCTTATGCTTGACTCTAGACTTTACAGGATATGGCTCGCAATAGACACCAGTGGCGCGTCTGCTGCTATCTCCTAGTCGAACTACCTGTGTCAACTGTGTTTGGTGCTGAGTTTTCTGCGGGGCAATGGCTGATTGTGACGTGGGGCAGTGAAAGCCACAAGGAAGCTGTCTCGCCGATGCCGCTTATATTTGCACGATAGCCAGCTGTTTGTGGTGGGGTTGTTGACAAGGTGTAGGCCCTAGATCCTGAATGTTTGCTTAGGGCTTTAAGGTTTTTAGCTAAGTCCCCATTCTCTCTCTCTCTTATTATTCTTCATTCCTTAAGTCGTTTTGGTTGTATGGCCGCGGAGCATCAGTTCAACTAACTGATGTACTGCTGCTGTTGATTGTTGTTCGATGGTCGGAATCCACGCTTGTGCTTTCTATTGAGCGATAGTTCTACTCGCAGCACCTCCAACGGCAACTGACCGCGGGATGTGATCGACTTGCGTCCGTGGCTCATTTGGGAGTGGTGTGCACCATGTCACCCTTCTGTAGATGCTTATTGTCTGTAGCATGTGCAGGCCTACTGCTGATACCTATACTACCTATCGAACTCGGTGTTTTATCAACTGGCACTTCACCACGTTAAATACTGATCATCCCATTATATCGTGATAATGTCTGACGAATCGGTCGAAAAGTTTACTTTAGCTGTTACATTTCCTCATGGACCGTGGCCTCAGCGTCAGCTGTTTACCCTTCATCCTGGTTCTTTAGTCAGATATTCTATCCCACGCGGCGTATTTGATCTTTCTCTTAGCTATTGTTAGCGTCTGCCTCGCAATCCGAAGGTGGTGAGTTCGAGCCTGCTTAGGGGACCGTGCCACCCTCGCTTTATCCCTAGTCCACGCACGATTGGTGGTGGCTGCCTGGCAGCGGAACGTCGGTACAGTGTACCGACGTACTGCTTATACCTTTCTTCTCTTAGCGATCGGCATGCTAACCTTCGTTTTTTTCTCTTGCGAATTGTATCTGCATTAACTGTTATCATGTTAACTGTTCTCGTGTCGACCAGTGGCCGAGTGGTCTGCGCGCCTGGTTTGCATCCATAAGGTCACAGGTTCGGATCAGCCTAGGGGAGGGCGTCCTCACGGTATACTCAGCCCGCACGCGACTCTTGGTCGCGTGGCAGCAAAGCGCCGTTACGGTGTACAGCTGGTGATTTGTTTATTTTTTAAGTTATCATTACTGTAGTAATAACCCACCGCATCTCGGTACTTGCTTATTTGTTAATCCAATTCAAATTCATCATCTAAACTTTCACACATCATGTTGCGTTTCGTTTTTTCATTGTAGTCCACTTGGTGATCATCATTTTGCCGGTCCGTAGCCTTAAGGATCACAAGCCTGCCTTGTAATCCGAGTGCGCGAGTTCGAGCCTGCTTAGAGGCAGGGCGATCGTCGCAGTATCCTTATCCCACATGCGACTGATGGTGGTTGCGCGGCACCGAAGCGTCGGTACTGCGTGCCGACATATTGCTGATGACTTTTTAATCATCATTTAAGGGAGTATCGGCACATTCAATTTATGTGTGACCCGTGAATCGCTGCGAAGCAAAATTATTTCTCTTGTAACCTTTCTTGGAGACTATTCCTGATACCACTGCTTTCGGACGTCACATATTTTGATCATCATACTTCTGGGCTATGTAACAAAAGGTGTGAATAGAGTACAGCGACGTTTCGCCACTACGAATCCACTGCCGTATTCATCCGGGCCTGGATACAGCGAGATCACCTGTAGTTTACAGTCGAAACAACTGGACCACTCCTCCACCTGTTCGGCTATTTAAGACTGGTATGAACAATACGTATGACTTTGCATGTTGAACTAGCATCTCGGCAACTGTTTTTTGTCCTATGACGTCAAACCGACCTTACTCCTGCTTTTATACTTGTTATTTGCACAGTTGGGCTAATAATTCAAATGCTTCATTTTAACTAAGTGCGTGATTCATTGCCACAGTTGTATTTTGTCCACTGTTTTTCGTTTCAGTTACCAACCATCTCAGGCCGACTGTGTTGTATATCGCGCCGTCAGTAAAAAGCCAGATGCCAAGTACGAGAACGCACTTCGATGGTATAACCATATTGACTCATTCGGGGCTGCAATGGAATCATTCCCCGGTCAAGCAAAGCCGTTGGCAAGCTATGGTATAACAGGTATTGATACTCGATTTTGTGGAACTTAACTGGTGATGTTACTTCTATATTGTTTTACCCAATACACCTGAGTTTCGCTCCGTGTCGCTAAAATTCCTCTGCTGTTAGGTTGCGACCTGCATCACATCAGCTGTTCGGTCGTTAATAATTCTTACTTCCTTGGATTTATTTCTGACTTGGGCCTGGCCATTACTCACGGAGTTTCGCATGTGGGGGATCGCAGGGTAAGCATGGAGCTCGAATCTTACAGGCTGATTTCTGATAAACAGCAAATATCGGACGATAGGGTCTCTAGTGTGTGCGAAAGTGCTGGCTGTTGGCCAATCTGTAGCAACGTGCGCACCTTGAGGTATACCAGTCTTAGCGAGACGCGAGGACTGCCAAGGGAAACGGATGAACCGACGTCCGCTTGGTTGAACATGAACTTGTCGACTAGCTTTTAGTGACGCCTTGCGGCTGTGTGTGGGTTGAAACTGGAAGACAAGCGACTATTGATGCAAGGTGGGGGAGGGCCAAGAATTGGGGGATTGAAAATGGGGGGATAAAAGTAAAGTTGGAGCGGGACGATAAGGATGAAAAAGCGCAAGAAGGAGGATAGGAAAACGTGAAGGTCTGAGCAGTGGCATCCAAACCCTTATCTACCCTGTTCGATGCAGCAGATAGGGCACCGTTGATTATCCTCCGCGACGGCCAGAGCATCAATAAATTGTTAGAAGAGAGGTTCATTGTATTGCGTGGGCAGAATACTGTTTGGTTGCCCAGGCCTAGACAGGAGAACGACTAGGGTTCTCAACCAAAGCCTTTGCTTCAAAAACCTGACCGCAAGGCAGCCAGGTTTGGGCACTGGACTACAGAGAGCCCGTTTTACGGAGTAAGGAGCCACCCTCATTCCACCCCCAACCAGGAAGGCCAGGAGACTTTGTCTGGCCTCTAACCATTGACCAATCTTGTATGAGTGGCTCTGAAGGTGCAAAAAGGTACCATCCAGCAAAGCTCAATGGATCACAGAGGCACACAAACCATCGCACCACGTTAAGGTCGTCTCGTCGCGATGGAACTGAAATTCTCCATATAGCTAGAGGGCTGCATTTTTACTGGCGGCTCTGTCGGAGATGGGGTCACTTTTCTCTGTTACCAGTGCACGAAGTCAGTGCTTACCAATCTAAAACACGTACGACGTCGCCTCGACTGCTTTCTCTTTCGAAAACCATATGCTGCGTTATTGTAGCAGTTAGAATCCTAACCGTCAACTTTCAGCAATCGATGCTTGTAGTAAATCACCCCTTGTGTTATGGCGGCATTGTGTATTAAAAAGTACTAGTATTCCATTTGATAGGATGGCCTCACTAACCCAGTCGAACTACTTGGTCCATTTGCACCCATGTCACGCGTTAAGGGCTGAATTTCAAGAGATTCTGGTGGTCAACCTACCTTTTTATGATAGAGCGTAAAATCACGGACTTCACGTTTGCTTATCACCTACTCCCTTCCTCTTTCCGTCTGCGGACTTCTGGGTAAACAATCTCTTTGGTGCGAAAATCGATCCATTGAAGAGTCTTTATGTCCTTTTGCTCTTAATCTCTTAACGATTGGACAATAAAAATAGAAAATCACAGTTTGTGACAAATCCCCGTTTGTTTTCACCATATATTTTTCTGGTAACTGAATGCTCTATTGTTCTTAGATCTCCTCGAGATCCGATCAACCGGTTCTTTTCGGTAAAGCCTGCACCTAAACACCAAGACATAAACGCCAACATTTTCAAACAACCTGCAGTTCATTCTGTAGTCCTACCATAAGCTTGCCCGTCTTTACTTTTGTTCCCACAATCTTGGTGGTTTACACAATATGTTTACTGTTGTGGAGCATGATACCCTCTTATTCCCTTTGTATTGCTTTACTTTCAGCAGAGCACGCTGAAACCACTCCTACCACTAAAGCATCAACTGTTGAAGATGACGTCGACGACCTGTTTGGATCAGATAGTGGGGATGAGGCAGAAGCTGAGCGCCTACGAGCGGAACGCCAAGCAGCTGCGGACGCCATGAAAGCCGCGAAGTCAGAGCCCGTAGCCAAATCCGTCATTGTTCTTGACGTAAAGCCTTGGGACGATGAAACCGATATGGTGGAAATAGAGAGGAGGGTGCGCGAGATCAAAATGGATGGTTTGTTGTGGGGTGCATCCAAGTTCGTTCCTCTTGCCTACGGAATAAAGAAATTACAAATTGGCTGCGTTGTTGAGGATGATAAAGTGAGTTGGAAGTATGAAAACTTTCAATAATTTGAATGAATTTATTGATTGTGCTGACCGGAAACGCCCTATTGGTTATCCGGAATGATATATAGCACCTAGGACACAGACGAGAAGCAGCGATGTAGTGAAACCATTATTTAACCATGAACTCCAATCCCAGTGGTCGGAATCACGGAATGACGAATTAAATCGTTGTCCCAGTTGAAATTGGGTTTCGCGATGCAAATGTATGGTAGGTACTCCATCCCCAACCCCTACCATTGAAACATGAACTTCCTTTGTGGCTCTACGGCTTAACACCCGGTAACCAGAACCATATTGCGGCTTTATTAGCAGAACTTTTATGCTCCGGCATGTACTCCCATACCCTTAAATCTTGTCCGATACTACTGTCTCACGGAATTCGTCAAGGCCATCACGCAATGTTTATGACCGATTCAGCATTCACTTCCTCATTTGGGAATGATTTTATTAAGAACGCACGCCAACGCTTACGCTTCACTGTAGCAGTCTTTCACACATGTTATGTCCCGTTGAAAACAGTCGGTGCGGCGTTCAGGCGATTTTCCGAAATTGAAACCAAGTGGCACTCATCCTAGTGATATACTTCATCTCTGATCACTGGCGGCTGGCACACGCAGGTGTTTTTTGATTCTTGCTTTTGAAAACACAACTGCTCAACCCTGCCGTCCAGTCTAACTGCTGATTGGATTTTGAAATAGCACTTCCCTCTGACACTCACCCGAACAGGTTTATAACGCTATAAATTACTAAGCGGCTTAGCAAGGGAAACCATAACAGTGGAAGTCAGCCTTATTTTCTACGCGGCAGTATCATACATAGTAGCAGTGTAAAAGCTATATCGTATCCACTCATCAATTCCTTTCTGTTTGTCATCAACATCATTGATCCTAGTTTTGCACACATACAGCACACGTCAGTACCCAGTGTGTCCAACGTGCGTGCGAGTGCAGGCTGTTGACCTATCTGTCTTAGAGTGTAAACGTTGAACGGCGCCAGGGAAACGGGACAGCGTGGTCTTATAACGGAGTGTTGTTGATAGGCGTCCAGTGGGTGGTACGGGGAGTTAGCTGCTGATGATTCGACTCCAGTGGCATTACAGCTGCTGTTACTTAAGCTGTGAATAATATAAGGAAGGTTAGTAATGGGGATTTGGAGGGAGTAAGAGAAACAGATTGGAATGAAGGTAGGGAGGCGCCAGCAGTAGCATGTTTTCACTTATCCACCCTGATGTATGCAACAGATAAGGTGCTCTCGATAGTCTGCGTGACAGCCGATGCAGTTTACTGCCAATAATTATAGTAACCGGGGCTATGATAGTTCAAATAAAATATGCAAGCATTGGTAGCTTCAGAACTTTGGAAATAAATGCAAGTCTCCGGAAATTCGGGGTCGCACTGACGAGGGCAGTGACATGCACCAAACTAGCTACCTTTCCGTGACTCTCTTCATGCTTCTTCACTGATTACCTCTAGGATTCACTTAGCTTGGCACATTTGTGTTGAAAGACGTGCATATGGAACGCAAGACCAGGCCACCAAAGTCGATCCGGTTTCACATAGACATTCAAATGAAGCACGATAGGGTCTTTTGCCTACCGCAGTTAACAAACCTTTGTTTTGCCCACTCTCAGTAATGGCCAGTAGAATGAAATAGATATTTTGAAGCTACATCGCAATGGCTTCCAAATTGGATAGTCCTACGCATGCCCCTAAATGCGCCAGACTACTGTTTCGACCTGTTGGGTCTCGTCCGTAGTGCGCATTCATCCGGATCCGAACCCATGATCACTAGCGGCTTGAACCGCCAGCCTGCAGCTTATGCAATTGAACTGCGAAGACAGCGGCGGACCGTTGTGGTTTACAAGCTACTGCGAAGAAACCCGTAAATATTTACATTAAAATCCCCTGTTTATGAGTGTCAGAACAGGATAGATGAGAATATTATATACCTCGTAAATTGAGATGCGCTTCTGTTGACGAGGTCTGATCACTGTACATCGCAGACATCTGGCATCTCATTATTTTAGACCCTTTATATGCGAAAGCACATGCATGACTATCTTTGAAACGCTTTTCAAGCTTTAGCAATACTTACGGCTGCCTCTCCAGCGGTGAGGTGATGCAGCTTCCCAGTTAAGCAAACCGATTCTGTACTTCAGGCGGTTTTTCGGTGATGATAAGACCTGGTAATGATTTGTCCTTCTGTGACAGCACTTTTAGAGCGCAAGATTCATGCCGAAGCATGCGACGCTACGCTCTATTTTATTTACTTGAGCTTCCATAATAGATAGGTTAGATATAAAGAACACGTGTCATCCACCGTCGTCAGCGTACGAAACCGGTCGCGGCTGAAGTGGAAATAGGCAGGAGTCGAATCATTCATACTCATTTGAACCTCAAAGTCGAGGCGCAATAACGAAACTAAGTAGCATTGGCACATTGCACTTCTCAAAGATAACACAGACTAAACTTTACCATAGTCCGTTACACCTTCACGAAGGCCTTGATATAGATCTTTTGGAATAGAGAGAAATTTTTTAGGTTCACTATTCCTGTGGTTGAGCTATGTAGCTTGTGAGCTTACTGGGACACATACATTAAAAATGACAACTAAAACCCTTCTACTCATAAGTAGTACAACTACCTATAATGGGCGAAATCAAAGGCAAGAACGCTAGGTTACGAAGAGTACTCTTGTCAACGTATGTCATCAGGCTTCTACAATTATAAAATTGGATGTTGGAACACAGTGGACTGATGAAACAGCTCTATAATCACGAAAGACCACCACGACCGGTTTTTTTATGAATGATGACATTCTACCTCTCGTTGAGTAGCTAAATTGTAGTCGATGCACCAACTCCTTAAGCGGAAGCATGGTTGACTTTCACTGATTTGTTTCTCTTAAGGACCAGTGAGCTACATGACACGATGTAGACAAGAATTTTGATAGCAGTTGAGATGCTTTTAAAGAGCAAAATGTTAGTCAACAATTGTCAGTTGAAAGTCGGAGTTGATCAAACCTTCGAGTGTTAATCTGCTTATTTTGACGATCAGCTTCAAAGTCACATGAAGAATGCCACGCAGCGCAGCTCAGTGAATCGTCGAGATACTCAGACCGTCGCATTTCGTTAGGGTTAAACTTCTTTCTGATAGCGATACGCCAACTGTTTCCTACGAAGGTAGTTCTGGGTTGGAATCCTGTACGATCGGATAAAAGCAGGCGGAACGGCTGTTCAGCGCTTTTCAAGATGTATGGTAATCGCTCAAATCTATCTTTCGGGAATATCGTCGGAATACTTTAGGTGGTGTATTTCGTGCTCAACACTGACAACAGTAAGCATGAAGTATAATGTTCCTATTATTTCTTGATCTATGGACAATGTCACTCTCCGTACTCCGCTCCACTGATTGATTGTTATTCATTTTTCCTGAATACCATCGGAGTCGTTTATGGCCATCAACTTTCTTACTTGAGTTCAAGCAGTGTCGTTCGATCCTATCAGTATTCTATTCCTTCACAGGACTAACCATCTCGCCAAATTTCTAGGGAATGTTAACCAGAACCCCTGACGTTTTCCATCATTGCTAACTATCTCTCATCGGTGTATTGTCGGTCCTTGTTGACACTGTGGTTCGTTAGCTTGCACCATGCCCTGTTAGACTTTGGACATCCTACTGGCGTGTCTCAAAACTAGGGGACATGAGACTGAGACTGTATTTAAGAGCAAGTAGAAAGGTTTCTGTACAACTCTATCGAATTACGGAAAATCAGAGACATTTAGTTGTGAATCATCAGCAGTTGTGTCTGGTCCGTTAACCGTTTATCCTTGTTCGGTTAGGAATTTGTACTAGTGTTATTATTTCCGGTCATACAATGTCTTCTTTTGGTATTGTATGTGCATCGTTTCACAAAAGCACAGATTTCCGAAATAATCGTCGATACAGGTTTTAAAACACTTCACAGAATCGGCCTCTATTAATCCTTCGAGTAGTGTATTTCATAAGTTCGATACAAAGCTGATGTGATACTTTGTTCATGTTGGGGACCCTGAGTTTGTAACGGTGTTTTCGGGTGTTACAGGGTTCCCGCAGGTGAAATATTGGCCGCGGTATGGGGAAGTGATTTAAGTGTAGTACTCGATGGGTCATAATAAGGTCAATTCTTACTCGGCGATAGGATAGTGTGTAGAGTCCGAACCTTTCACAACGTTTTTCATACGGAAGCTTTTGTCGACTCGGTGTCATTCTAGTTGCGATATGCTGTATATTTTTCCAGCTTTTCAGTTTCCCGTTGGGTTATTTGATGGTAAGCTGGGGCACCGTATTCAAAATTGGTCTAATGAGCGAGGTGAATAGACGAGGGACGGTTTCTTCAGACCATGTGGAGAAACTGCGTCTTAATGCCCAGAGCATACGAAGTCCCGCACGGTACAACTTCTCTGTATTTTCTAGTGATCTCATATCATGCCGTGAGAGCTCCTAAGTCTCTGATAGATGGGTTGGGATTGAGAAACTGGCCGTCCAAGGTGTAAGATCGAGTGGCTGGACGTCTGGTGATACTGATGAACTCCGACTTGCTTGCGTTAAGAGGGAGTTGCATCTCAGTGGACCACGTTGACAGTCGCTTTAAGTCATGCTGGAGGCGAGCGCAGTCGTCCTGGTTCTCAATGATCATCCAGCTTTTCAGATCATCTGCAAACGGGGCACATGATGACTGGAGCTGCCGCGGAAGATCGTCGATATGAATAAGAAATAATACTGGCCCAAGTACAGTTCCTTGAGGCACGCCACTAGTCGATGGGAACCAGTCTGTCAGGTAGTCATTGACCTGTACTCTAAACTTTCGTCCCACAATGAACTCGTGTTAACCACTGAAGTAACGTGCCACCGATTCCGTATGTCCTCAGTTTACGAAGGAGTACCTCGTGATTCACTCTGTCAATCGCCTTACTAAAGTCGATGTACACCATGTCAACATCCTTCCGTTCGTTGAGAGCTCGTACCCACTGGTGGTTTGCGTACATCAAGTTGGTGATTCAGGATCGCCCTTCCGTAAAGCCGTGTTGCGCTGGCGTCAATACGTCCATCGATTCGCGCACTTTGGATAATACCGAAGTCAAACAGATCGGTCTATAGTTCTCTAGTTTACTCGGATCACCACCCTTGGGAAGCGGTCTCACTATCGAGCATTTCCAGTCATTCGGGACAGATCCTTCAGAGAGCGATTTATTGAAAAGATTTGTCACGGTTGGTGAAATGATAATCGATAGGGACTTGAGTATTAGTGGGTGAAGTCCCATCGACTGTGCTACCTCCGTCGGTATACCATAGCTGTGTTTATTTTTTGTGTCCACTGTTCTGTTATGACCTGTTCCAAATTGCTGTTGCATCTCTTATCAACGGTACACAATGTGACTCATGACCGCTGCGTTTTTCATGCGGCTCTGTTTAGAACCGTTCCTTTTATTCCACTTTTTTTTAGGTCGGAACTGATATACTGGAAGAAGAAATTATGAAGTTGGAAGATTTGGTTCAATCTGTTGATATAGCTTCCTTCCAGAAGGTGTGATTGAGGACTATTTGTTTTTGTCTTCATATCCACATGCTGAAGCTTTGATTAGTGGAGTGTATTTTTGCCGTTTGCTCCGCCAATCGCTTTATCTTAGCTGAAAACATGTTTTCGCCTTGGCTTCTACCTTTTTGCTTAAATAGTTAAACCGTTAACGCAGTTAGTAGTTTCTGTCGAGGATTCAAGTGTTAGTCTCTGGTGGTGCAGAGAGATCGGGCTACTGGATGGTCTGTGCATATGGTGCATTACTGTTGAATTTCTACTTTTCAATGCGGTTCCGGTTAACATGATCACGTTCCCCTGAGCTTAAATCTCAATCGAAATCAGAAGTCACGTTCTTAACGTGTTGAATTTTCGAGACAGTACAAGTACTCTGTCCACTACCTGGTACAGTACGGGGGGGAGAGCCAGAAGTTAAGGCTCAACTGACCGGTTTGCATTAAAGTCAAGCACCCTGGTACTGACGTCTCTTGTTTTCACTCCTCTGATTCCTACTCTTGGTTTGTCCGGTTGGTTATTGTCTGAGTGATTGGTTATCACTCGCGCCATGTTTGGCCGTTGCTCACTTTGTCGTGGCGCATCGTAGCTGACTACCTGCTCACCTATCCTGACGTAGACTCGCCCACACTGGTGATGGTTGAGTGGAAGACACCTTAGCTATTGTGCCACGATACATAAGATATGAAAAAATGCAGCAAAGGCACGCCAGCTGAGTCACCAGTAACGGATGGACATCGTTCCTGAGAGCCAACAGCTGGCTTTTGTGCCGCAAAAGTTACATTGCGCCTAGGAAATGAGATCGTGGTTGGAGGAGGGGGGCTAAACGGAGTGGGGGGGACAAAGAAACTTACAACACAAACACCACTGAAATCGGCTGCTATCCAGGTCAACAACTGACTCAAGCTGAACGTGTTCATCGTCCTTCGGACCCCAACCAGGAAGCCGAGCAGCTCCAACCGAGGCCGACTTCAGACTAAGAGCCTTCCTTCTTCTCGATCAACTCATCGCTTTGCTTCCCCTACTTTTTATTCCATCCACACTCCCGGTGTACAAACAACGACGTGGGAATCTATGGCCTGGCATGCGCGACATGTGGCCAAGCCATCGGAGCATGGTGCATGACATAACAACGCTGAGCGGTTCACTTCCTCTTCCTATGCCATAAACAAGTTGTTGAATACGCTCATTGCTCGCATGGCGTTCCCACCAGATATGAGCCAAACTGCGAAGACACCGGTGGTTGAACGTAGCTAGTCTATTTAAGTCTGCCGATCTAATGGGTCAAGTTTCACTACCGTACAGTAGGGTCGAACGTACGGCTACATTGTACACTTTACCTTTCAGGGCGAGAGTGATGTCGCGCGGGCGTCATAGGTGGCGAAGGTTAGCAAAAGCGCCTCAAGTTTTTGCTATACGGTTTGTTACCTCTTCAATGCTGCCCAGATACTTAAATTTCTGAACGACTTTTGGCTGATCACCAAGGGTCAGCGTAGGTGTGGGTCCCCCAATCTTAGCGAAGGACTGCATTTCGACGGTGCGAAGCATAGTCCGAAACGACTGACAACCAGAGCTAATTTATCCAGTGCAACTTGGCACGCTTGTGAGCTGTCACAGATGCGTGCAATGTCGTCAACATACTGTCAATAAGTCGGTCACTAGGAAACAGCTGCACACCTTCCAAGTCGTGCCCGTTTCCATGACGTCGCCAATCGAGAACTTAAAAAGCAAAGGTGACAGCTAGCAATTTCGTCTCACACCGCTGGAGATACTGAAGGGTGGCGACCGTTTGCCGTAAGCCCTCACTCTGCCGGAGGTACGCGCGTAAAACCCTCGGATAATATTTACATATATTTCTCGGACACAACTTTCCTGAGTAGACAGATCGAAAGGATACATCGATCAACCGGACCGAAGCACCTTTGATGTCGAGGAACACGACAACGGTGGGCCGCCAATATATGTGACGGTGCTCAACAATTGACACAAAGAGAAGATGTGATCGATGCAGCCGTAATTCGACGAATCCCGACTTGCTTCTTGCGAATCTGGCCTTCACGTGTCTGTGGAGGTTGACAGAAGCAAGCACTTTGGAGACGATGGAGATTTGACTGAATCCTCTATGGTTGCAGTCTTCCAAACGTGAGCCTCCCTTGGTGATTGAGACTATGACGGAGCGGCTCCAGTCGGTTGAGACAGACTCGTCTTCCACAGTTTCACTTACAAATCTTGTAAATCGTCAATAAGAGCATAACCCCCGAATTTGAAAAGGGCTGGATGAAGATCATCTGGTCCCGTGATCTTATTCCACCTCAGCATTCCGATCTCACGTTCGACTTCTGAGCGAGAGAGCGGATCCAAAGGGACAGCCCAAGGATCAGGGCGATCACTGACCAGTGAGGAATCTAACAATTCCTGTCGATTAAGTTGCTTTTGGAAGTTCTCAACTCAATGCTCCAAGCGTTTTGACAAGTTTTGGATAGGCTGTCCACTCCCGGCACATATTATCCCACTAACACCCGGTCTCCTGCTGCCAGTTTCCCTATGTTTATCAAGGGCAACGGCCACTTCAATCTCCGACGTACGATGAAACCGCTAGGGTTCACGGTTTTTCTTAGGCTAGGACTCAGTTTTGACCTTATTTCTTTGCGAGTCTCATTGCGTTCGCTTCCATTCGGAATATGCCAGCGCGCATACCTAAACTCCATAGACTGCGAAGAGACTCAATGTCCATGTTGGCTGTTGGTTTCACCACATGATGATTTACCTACTAGTTAGATCTGGTGAACATTCGACCAGTGAGTGCTTACTCAACCCGAATGCCGGCGTACTTCGATACTCATCTGGCTTCGCCAGTTGGCTGATGTCTATTCGCTCACAGTGTCGTCGAGGCAGTCCGCCAAAAACGCACCTGCAGATCAGCACGTACAAGTGCATGATCAGTGTCCACACATGTGCTCCAAATCGAGCGACAGTTTTGGACGCAGCTTCTCCAGCGGTAACTGATCGCAGTGTGGTCGATTTGCTTCCGTGGCTGGTTCGACGCTGGTGGGCGCCATGCCACTCTTCTACGGGTGCTGTGTCGGAACTTAGTGCTTGCGAGAAATAAGCGAGCACCTTTATATAAATGAAGTACTCGCTCACTGTTACCATTAAGGGAGCCTACACCATGTTGGCCGCCCAGATGCAGCTCTTCAGTGCACGATTTTCCAACTTAAGCGTTGAGAGCCCCAGTCAGCACCACACTGTCCGTGCTTCTTCTGTGACGAAGGAACTCGTTTGGTTGTCGGTGGAAGTCGTACTTTAACCAAACATCGCAAATGTTTGTGGGCGCGTAGGCAGCGATGACAAACAGACACTTATTAGTTCCGTGTGGCTTCGAGGCTTTGAACGAGTCAGCTAGTCGGACCGCACGCACCCGGCTACTGATTGGGATCCAATCCACAGCAGCTTCAGCCTGGGGACTCAGGGCAATGCCAACACCGGCTTGGCGGGCGCTCGAAGCTGCATCGTCTCCGGATAGGCGCAGTAAGAAAGCACTGCTAATGTCGCTAGAAGGGGATCACAAAACGACCACAGAACTTCAGTCTTGCAGGTGGGTTTCCGATAGGAAGCAGCTTCATAGAGTCTCCAATATTCGGGCAAACGCTGTCTGTTGACCGATTTGTAACAGTGTGCGTACTTATGTGCATGCAAGTCTGAGGGGGTATCGAGGGCTCCGAATAGTAACCGATGAACCGGGTTTCACCGCTTGATTAGATATCGGCTTGTCTTCCTAGCAGGAGGAACGCTCCGCGTTTGCATGTGAGGTTAAACTGGAAGAGAAACGCCTACCAAAGCATGTTGGAGGAGGGCCGAGGATTGGGGTTGAAAACGGAGGGATAAAAGTGAAGTTGGAACGGGACGATAAGAGAGAAAAAGCGTAAGGGAAGGAATAAGAAGACTGGAAGGCTTGAGCAATAGCATACAAACTCTTGTCCTACGCCTCTCGATGCAGTAGATATTGTACCGTTAATTATCCTCTGCGATGTCCAAAGCAACAAGAAATTGTTTGAAGTTGAACTCATTGTATTGCGTGTGCATGGTACTGTCAGGTAGCTTAGGCCTAGACAAACGCATGGCTAGGGTTCTCTACCAAAGCCAACGAAATCAACCTGTTATCATCAATAGTGACGGATAGATTTCGTCAGCTTTTCACACGGCCAGCGTTCGTTCGGTGTGTCCACCGAACCCACTCTTAAAGTAAACGCGTTTTTAGACCAACACAAGGATGTTCAGCATGTGGGACAAACAGTTAAACTAAAAAAGGTCTTAGCAGCCGAGACATCGAGTGATGAGAGGCGTACGTGCATTCTATGACGTACTCAGTCTTTCCAGAAATAGTCTATTTCTGCTGAATGTTATTCGTTCTAATCGTTCTCGCCGGGAGATTTCCTGGCAATTGCTCAATAGCTATTCGAATCGGAGGTGGCTGACATCAATAATCTATAGGCTACATGTTTTGATAATTTTGTCCGAGAGTGCATGGTCCACTTTCTCGTGGTTCCCCATAAGAAAAAACCGTCATGGGTGATGTAACGTACGGTTATCAATACACAATTTCATTGTTAGCCTTTCGAACAAAACTTGGACTAATGAGGCGATCTTAAGTGAATTGCTCGTTGGGCACTCTTAGGAGATTTAGTGCAAACGCTTCACTCTGGGGAGAGCCGCGTTTTTATGTGTCTCATTAAAGCTAATACAGCTCTGTGAACCTGAAGTATGCGCGTCTTTTGGTCGTAGTGGAACGTCAGTGCTGGTTCTAACTTTCAATGGTGATCAAACCGCGAGTTAACCTCGCTTCAGATTATCAGTATAAACCTAGTGGTGTGCCTACACACACACCAAGCCGGTATGTATTTACCCACATTAAACAAATACATTGGTCGTATAGCAAGTAATTCTCCATCTCACGAGATGCAGCCACCTGCTGTTAGGCTGTCCATAGTGTGGTATTTCGCTGCGCAAACAGCTTGGTTAAAAGCATCATACTATCCCAGCAATGTTTACCTTCCCTGGCAAGTGAAGCAATACGTATGCGCTGTTACGTGTACAGCAAACATTACAGGCGCGGGTTTTATTTA